CATTATAATCGTTCAAAATACATGTTCATTCTTTCACGCTGTTTTATCAAATTTATGAACCTTAATTATGAGACAGATGAAATTTTCGTGAAAGGAACCGGTGATCCATAAAGGGGCGGAGGGCGAGCGATACAATAAACGAAGAATAATTTGCCCATTTGCGAGAGGGAATGAAAGGTTCGCCAAGACGTAGCCAATTTATTTCGTTTAGCCACAATGGCGATAATCACGGATGGATGAAAGGGAGAAACCGTGGTAATCAACCCACCTGATTCGATCCCCTCGAGGTCGCTTCGAGATCTTTTCATTTTTATCGTGTCTAATCCAATAAGCGATCCAACTGTCTATCGTTTATTATCTACATTCCTTTTTATCGCATTTATCGATGGAATGACTCAGGCTATAATTAGTCACCAATCTATTTTAGTATTCTATCAATCTTTCAATTCTTCGTAAAATATTATAAATCCATTCATTAATGAATCAAATTATGTTATCAATCTATTGATCACCAAATTCGTTCTGGAATCTCAACGGAAATGAAAGAAAGAGTCAGAGTTCCTCGGGATCGATGATCGATCTCGATAAGGTACCAAACCGCGTCGCGGACGGGAAACAAGAGGTCCAATCGTGATAACAACAGCTCTATCGTGAAATCGTAGGCGTGACACGGGTCGGTCGGACACGTTGGACCACATTTTGCCTCCCGATCGCAGTTTCTTCCGTGAACGACGGATTATCGACGCTCGATCCGGTTCACATCGGTGCTCCATTATCGTCTGGGCGTTGGTCGACGGACAATGGGTCACGGTTGGACGTTGGCCACGCGCGGATCCACCGTTGGATCGATGAATCCGGTTAGGTGCTCGTGAAATCGCTGTGATCTCGACGCGACAGGAGGACAAAGCATTAAGGGGAGACCGTGAGAAAGTGGGAGACGGTCTTGAGAAGCGCGTGATCCATTCTCGCAGCTGTTGGGAAGGGTTTAAGTTCCATTTGAGGGAGTGGCATTGTAGTGCAGGATAGGCATTGAGATCATACACTGACTGGATGCTGGAGTTATTTTTTGAATGTGGAAAACCGATACGTGTTATTTAGAAACTGATGTGATTCACTAGTCTATTTATTAAAAATATCCTACATCAGTTTACGCTTTTATACAGTCGCGATTGGTATTAATTCAAGTCCAATTAAGGACGGTTCGGCGTTAATTTAACTGTTTTTGTAATTAACATGGAATGAATGGCAACACGTTTCGGGAAGAGGAAAGCGAAATTAATTAAATGAATCGCCTGGATCGTACAATTTACAAAATTCCATTTGTACATTATAAATTAAGCTAGCAGATCGTTCGAATAGACTCGATTACGCGTGAGCGAATGGGAAGGAATCCTTTTTCATTAAGGGAAATAAAATATTCGCCGAGAGCATGGCAGATCGGAATTACTTCGTTCCGTATGCGGTTTGTCCGCAAGTAATAACCGTTTCCGAGAAGAACGCGAAGAGAGAACGTCACTTTCTCTGTAATTCCCTCGGGTCTATCTTTATGCGAGCCATTCCGTATCCGTCGTGCTCCAACGCGGCCGTGAAAAATTGAAAAGGGACCAAAATTAAATCTCACTTCTTTTTCTTGTTTAAAGAGGTAAACGCAGAGAACATGATCGCGGTCATTAGTCACATAATCTCCTTTCCTCTAATTATGATTACCCCGGCAGTTTTATTTTTCCGCCCTTTCGATTTTTATACTTGGCATTTCTTTTGACTTTGAATTCCTTGTTTCTTTTTCTTTTCGAGCCGGCGTCTATCACGACGAATTTTCCTAACCGGACGGCGAGGCGGCGACGCCACAAAGGGAAGTGATAGTTTCAGGGAAAATACGCGAGCCGGAAGCACGTAATCGAGAAGATCGGGCCCGTTAGAATCACAATGAGACATTTCGGTTTTCCCAGCCGTTCCCGCTCTCCTCTAATTATCTTTTGCCAATCAGATAATGCGGACGAACTTCCTTTTGCCTTTCGGTCCCTTTCATCTCGCCTCGGAATCCTTTCAATTCGCACAAATGGAGCTTCAGTCGCTTCTCGAGCCTTTTATTATACACTTTTCTATTTTATCTTATTTCGCGCTCGTTTAAATAGTTTCCGGCTCGTGCTTTAAATACTTACTGTTTAAAGA